CATGCCTAGATGCGTTGGAGAATGCGTAGCACATCAGGGTGCATCCACACATTATTAAAGGTCAAAGGGCTTTAAAGCAGTGCAATCATTTTGAAATTTTTATCATTTACTTATTATGCTTCATTAAGTACTTATACAAAATTTTATTAAAATAAAACCATTTAAACTGGGCGTTCGGATTTATATGTCACTTAGTATATTTGACCATACTCTTATCAATGATAGATCCTCTTCTGGAACAAAATACTTTCTACACCTGTCCCTTATTTTGTTTATAAACGGTCTGAGCTTCCAAAGTTTGGCATTCTTGTCAATATTCTCATTAGATGCCAAATGTAGAAACCTCAAACTTTGATCAAATCGGTTACGCCTCATAGAATTATAGACAAGATCATTTCTGGGCAGATCGTTATAACCGCTAATAAGTAATATACCGATGAAATATTTCATTTCCTCTTGAGACACTCTTGGGTCCGGTAGGTTTTTGAAAAGGGCATACTTGTTAGTTTCTTGCACTAGGAATAGTATTACGTCGTCGTCTATAAACATTTCAAATATATCTGCAACTGATTTGTTCTCAAGTGCTGCGTAATCTGCTTCAGGAAATGGCCGTTTGTTGTAAGTGAAGTCTCACGAAATCCACTCCCGAGTATCAGAAGTCTTTGGGTATGCCATATCAGCTGGAGTTGAATCCTTCTTTGATGAAGAACCATCCCCATTAGAGTCTGTATGTTCGGGATGAGCATCTTCTAACGTCACTCCTCCAGCTTCTGCAAGTAACCGACGTTTGCTCAAATGGTCTGGGTCCCCTCCTTCGTCCTAGTCTCCAGAATCTTCATCAGTCAGGACGGCAGGTTCCGGTGGCGCAATATAAATTGCCTCTACAGGGTTGTCTAAGTCATCATTTTCTCCAAAGACTATATATGGCTTCTTGAACAGTCACCCCCTGAAAAAATGCTGTTGCGTAAAAAAGTACAAATAATAGCAAAGTTGATGGTTTACTAACACAAGTATAAAACAAACAAGTTCACGTGGTAATGGCACAATACTTTACACCACATCTGCAGATGCTACTTTTGCAACTCTATCAAATTTATGTTATGGAATCTAACAACTATACTTACTCCTTATCGATGAAGTCCATTTTTGATGCCTTTTCTTGCACTAACAAAATTTGGCGGAGCGATACTTGGAAACAACAACACGATGCTTGATAAACACAACTAATTAAAACTCCTAGATCAACGCTTCTTGAGCGGGTGTAGATGTTAGTAGCCCAGCATTTGGGTTGCATTTGTAAGACTATTTTTCGTTACATAAATGTAGCGCTAGGAGCTAATGGGTTAATACAGAAAATTGCCAAGCCTAAAAATTCGACATCCAGGTGATTCCATGACCTCCAAAAAATTCTACCTTTGATGGTGGTCAAGGTCAAATCTCTAATTTGAGAATTTGATGTTCAGATGATCTGAAACCTAACCTTCGATAGTGTCCATTGGATGTTGAGCAATAATCATGACCAGTGTCAAATTCTTAGAGATCAAGGACAAAATATGGGATCTCATCAAACTAATGATTTGACCTTGCAACGAATTTGAGGGTCAATGCCAAAGTCAACTTCAAGGCCATCGCCAGATAGCCAGATAAAGGTCCTACGCCTATGTCTGGATAGAATTTCATTTAGCCTATTAGTTTTCGAAATCATCTGCCATATCTGGATTGCTTGCCTAAACCATTGATTCCCAAAGTGGTCTATATCGACCCCTAGAGATCTATGACAACCTGCAAGGGGTCTACGTCAGCGAAAAAAAACTTGGCGGTCGATGAAATGAATATGGGGGTGCACGATAGTGGATCTCAACACATACACTGATAGTACCTATTTACTTAGATCATACTATCCTATAATATCGAAACATATACATTATTTATACAAGTACCTATGAAGTAAAAAACTTATTATATATGTTTATAAAATTCTGTAAGTTGTAGGATGTTGGTATTCGCTTTGTGGTCGCAATACATTTTGAACTTGTAAAAACCTGAGAGTCGCAGTCTCAGAGCTTCGCTACCTTGCACTGACTTGTTCAATTCGTCGCTCTATAAATACGAATGTGGGACAAATACGTTTATTCGTTTCCTGAATCTTGAAAAGGAAAGTGCTAAGAAAATATTTAACAAAATATAAACAGATAGTAAATGACACAAATTATAGTGAGTCAGTGTTATTTTGTTTGAGAGTGTTGGAGAAAAGTAAGTACTTTATTTTTTATTAAATTTTAGTTTTGTACTCGTAGTTAGCAAAGATATATAAATTACGCCAATCATGACTTTAGTTATTAGTAGTTAAATATTCAATCATGCAAAATTACACGAGTACTCCTCAATAGTTTCTTTTTGAAAGTTTTATCAATCGGTAATATAATTACAGTGCAATCTCCGTAATTCGAGCTAATTGTTGCAAGAAGATGTTTGAATTATGGAATGTTTTCGGAAAAATCTAAAAATATTTTTAATATACAGCTGCTGGATTTTCTGTCTTATTTAAATAATTTAATTTTGCCCACAGATGACTGATGCCATGTCCGAATCTAAAACCAAATGTAGACAGTACAGTTTTGATTATTTGAAATTTGGCTTCATTCCATCATTGCCGGACAAACAATCGCCTATGTGCCTTTTAGGCAAAGTTTTGGGCAATGACGCTATGAAACCATCTAAACTGCAACATCATCTGAGAAGATGCCACCTTGATAAAACAGAGAAAGATCTGAAATACTTTCAAACACTCACAGATAAATTTCAGAAGAGACCTACACTGGACAGAATGTTCGCTTCGACGTCACAAAGAAATGATGATGGTTTGCGGGCGTCTCACAATATCTCGTTACTTATAGCAAAATCCTGAAAACCGCATACTATCGGAGAGAAGTTCACTTTGCCAGCCGTTGAAGAGGTTTTAAAAACTGTTTTACGCAAACCTGCATCTGATATCATTAAAAGAATTCCCTTAAGCAACAATACTGTTGAAAGACGTATTGATGAAATGAGTTCTGATATTGAAAGCTTCTTGTGTAATTATTTGCAAACGTGCCATTTCTCTATACAACTGGACGAGTCAACTTTATCTGATAATGCAGCATTATTATTGGCATATGTTCGTTTTATTATGAATCAAGAAATCTACGAAGAACTGCTCTTCGCAAGAACTTTGATAACCGACACTAAAGATGAATCAATATTTCATGTTTTGAAGGATTACTTCATTGAAAATGCAATTCCTTTATCAAATATAATATCAGTAGCTACAGATGGAGCACCTGCCATGGTTGGGCGTTATCGTGGATTTATAAGCTATTTAAAACAAAATGTGTCAGGGGTGTTATACATTGCGTCATCCATCGACAACATTTAGTTGCTAAAAATTTGAGTGTTAGATTGCATGAATCACTTCATTTAGTCATTGATGCAGTAAACCGAATCCGAAGCAACGCGTTGAATACGCGGTTATTTGCGCAGTTGTGTGAAGAAAATGACGAACAGTTTCATCAATTACCCCTTCACACTGAAGTACGCTGGCTGTCGAAAGGCTAATGTTTGACAAGATTCTTTGCACTTTTTGAGACTATTTTAGAATTTCTGGAAGCAAAAGATAAAATTTTAAAAGAAAATTTAATGAAGAGGAAAACAGACATCGCCTATTTAACAGATTTGTTTACAAAATTTAATATGGTTAATTTGCCATTACAAGGCGACAGTTTAAATTTGATTAAAACAAAATCCATCTTATCAGCGTGTCTTGCCAGAGTTAAACTAATGAAGCAAAATATTGGACGGGGCGAATTTTCTCAGTTCCCCAATTTGTCACAGACAAGCTGTCAGGAAGACGACGTTTCAACTTACGTTCAACATTTTAATGCCCTCTATTCAGATTTTGAATCGAGGTTTGAGGATATTTTTACTATGGTAATACCACCGTGGATAATTAATCCATATGGTGACATAGAAGAAACTAATGTCATAATACAAGAGGAACTGGCTGAACTAAGTACAAACGAAGAACTTTCAGTTCAGTTTAAAAACGGATATCAGCAATTCTGGCAGCAAAACAACATACTGTTACTTATCCCGTATTATGGAATATAGCGAGGAAATTCTTAATTTCCCTTCCATCGTCATACCTAGTGGAAAGGGGGTTCAGCGCTGTTACCAGTCTCCTAACGAAAAAAAGAAACAGACTGGACATCATTAGCCGAGGAGATTTAAGATTAACCCTTACAAAATTGACGCCAAATGTTGATAATTTATTATTAAAGCATCAGGTTCATCCTTCTCACTAAAAATATTGACTTATTGCTTATGTTATTTTATTTATAGTTTATTTTATGTTTATTGGTGCCTGACCAATAAATGCCCGCATTGGGAATAAGTGCCCACATTGATTTTTTTAAAGAACCCCCCTTTATAGAAAATATTTTTTTTTAAATTATTCTGAAAATTCAAGGATAGGTACACACTAAAATTCGTTAATTTTTTGCCTATTTTTAGATAACTTAAACATGTAAGAAGCGCAATTTTATCAAACTAATAGTGAAATTATTGTAGAACATACGTTTATGTTATAATTAATAAACGAACTCGCTTATTGTACTATTTTAAGTAAAACACTTTTTTTTTATTATTCACTTTTTTTTTATTTTATCCCTCTTATTTTTTTTTCAATGCGGGCACTTATTGGTCAGACACCTGTTTATTTAATGTTACGTATATTTTACATAACAGATACAAAATTTTATTTTGAGTAGTTTTAATTTAAATTCAATTAATAAATGTATAAATTAACATATATTTTTACTTTAAGTTTTTAACACTAAACTTCACTACAGTTAAAAATTTACAGGAAATCAATATCAGGTAAGTAGGGGGTCACCCAACAGGGAAAAACATGGAAAGGGGTCTACGACACAAAAAAGTTTGGGGAACTCTGGCCTAAACCTTACCGTATGTTGTGTGGGAGGGCCCGGTGAGGTGACGAAGCACGAAGACCGCCTTGGTCGGTGCAAGGGCGGACAAAACGGCCGATCGACAGCTGTCGATGGCCGACGATGCCTCGTCACTGCTGAACGCTCGATGGTGATCAAAGACTGCCGACGGTCTCTGGCTGGAAAGATGGGGATTATGGAGCCTGCAACCAAAATGAATATTCACTAACTTACGAGAGATCGGCACGGGCATTATGTAATGGCCGTAATCGCCATTCCCTAACAGACTGTTAAATTGTTTAACACATTGTTAAATCGGTTTTTGGTATTCGCCATCTACACATCATAGCAAACAGCGCGATGTTGACGTGGTAAACCACTAACTGACTCAGTGGCGGTTCCACTAGTTTTTTTTAAATATTTCGAACAATATTTGATGTATATCAGTGAAAACTGGTATACAAGGATTGTTTGGTACGACAAAACGAACCATGGGCATAGTTTTACTGTAGCCGCTAGAGGGCGCTCTCTACTGTACCTGCAGTGTATTAAAATGACCGAAAAATTGTTCTTAGTGCAATTTTTTGCTTTTTGAATAAAAAAAACTGATTCTTCGCACTTTTCTGCATAAAAAAGCTCTCCTGTGAGTTTTTGTTATAGTTAGCCGTTTTTGAAATATTTCGATTTTTAAGGTTTGATGCATTTTTAATTATTTATGGGAAAATAATATTTTCTTTACATTTTCAATATGGGCATTACAAGTAATTAAGATGATCGTTTAGATTGTGTTTTTAAACAGAGCAACAATTCCTAACTCCAAATAAACACAAAAAAACAGAAAACTAATTTGTTTAATTTTCCAATATTATTTTTGACAAATTAAATTAATTATTTACAACTAAAATGCTATTGGATAGTTAGGACAAACATACAAAATCTAAAGTAGTTGCTCGAAATGTAAACCCAATTGTTCAATACACAATTCACACCTACGAACGATCACATTATTCAAATAAGGCCTTATTTCATCACATGCATTGCTGATTCTGTCTATTAGCATATCTCTTGTGGTTACGGGAGTCTGGTACACTTGTTCTCTTAGAAATCCCCACACAAAGAAATCTAATGGATTTAGGTCAGGGGATCGTGGAGGCCAGGCGACTGGTCCTCCACGGCCGATCCATCTTTCTGGATAATTTTCGTCCAGCCAGTTTCTAACTATTCTCGAATAATGAGCTGGACAACCATCAAGCTGGAACCAGGCCAATCTTCTTAAATCTAACATAACATCATCCCACATATTTGCATGTTCAGCCTTTAAAAATTCCAAGAAGGTCGCAGCATTTAACCTTGCAGGCAAAAGGTAGGGTCTAAATAGTCGATTACGGTAGATACCAATCCACACGTTCACACTAAATTCATGCTGAAAGTGAAGCATGACTCATCGGTTCATAAAACGTTACTTAAAAACTCCCTATTATTATCAGTTCTATCAAGAATCCACTGACAAAATGTGATTCTTCGTTCTCGGTCCCCTGGTTGTAGTCCTTGCACAGGTTGCAAATGGTGAGGTCGTCTATGGCCATTTCTAAGAACACGGTGAACATGGCTTGCTGAAATTCCCAAGGCACCAGAAACTCTCCTAACACTTGTGGTCGGATCTCTATCAAACTCACGCAGAATCACACGGGTAAATCTGCGCTGATGAACATTTATGTTTTGATCCCTTTGGAGATTTCCAAAACCATTTTCAATTATTTGGCGATGCACTCTTACAAATACTGAGTGAGTTGGATGTCGTCTGTTTGGAAATCTTCGTGCGTATTCTCTGGCTGCTTCTGCTGCGTTTCCATTTACAAAGCCATACACAAAATAAATATCCGCTAACTCTTGATTGGAGAATAAAAATGGCATTTATATAAAACTTACAAAAAAAACAGGTTATAGAAACTAAATTTCGTGTATTCGCAATTGCAAAAAAGGTTTCAGGTTTCAACAGACAACAAAACTAACTGTCAACTAATTGACGTTTAACCTTATTCAGCTTTCAATTTCAAAAATATTTGAAGGCACAGCCTACTTCTAAAAATTATCGAGATACTGACTTTTTAACGTTATTTTATCATAAATAATTAAAAATGCATCGAACCTTAAAAATCGAAATATCTCAAAAACGGCTAACTATAACGAAAATTCACAGGAGAGATTTTTTATGTTGAAAAGTGCGAAGAATCAGTTTTTTTATTCAAAAAGCAAAAAATTGCACTAATAAAATTTTTCGGTCATTTTAATACACTACAGGTACAGTAGAGAGCGCCGTCTAGTGGCTACAGTAAAACTATGCCCATGGTTCGTTTTGTCGTACTAGAAAACCCTTGTATACCAATTTTCACTGTTATACATCAAATATTGCTCGAAATATTTAAAAAAAACTATTTTAGAAAGTAAATTTAAACACCCTGTATTTCGGAAGCCACGCATTTTTCGACCCATGTTTATATAGACTTTATGCATTAATTTTAAGAATTCTATCGAATCTTAAAGTTATGCAACAATAAACTGAAACACCCTGTATATATATAATATCCATTTAATAATATCTCATATAAAGTCCGAGCCTCCCTGACATTCAATCGTATAACATCAAACCGATCTAGTGGTGAGTGACCACTCTTACTCTTGCCGCCGCCGACGGGTGACGGCGGATGACGACGAATAGTCGCATATATGCGATCATGTACCCGGGATTAGCGTGTTTCTTTCCCTACTGTTCTGGTTGCGTGTGCATTTTATGCAGTAGTTGGTTGTAGTAGTTAAAAACCTCGAAGTTTTCGAAAGTTGTTAAAAGCGATTCATGAGTAATAGAGTCGCAGACGCGGGCGGTGGTGCAGACCACGAATAAAGGTAACAAATAAGACGGCGTTGCCGTATTTAGGTAAACGTACTTTATAGGTATTGTTCGAAGTTATCGCCGTTTGATTCAAAAACACAGGTGCGTGCACGACGTAGCCAAACATCGGTGCAGGCTTTTAAAATGGAGTCCCTCCCCCGAATGAAAGCACCAGCTTGTTCAATTCTGAGACGAAGTTCGTCAACCGTATGCACTTCAGTTTTGTACACTAAGCGTTTCATTTCTCCCCAAAGAAAAAAATCACATGGTGTTAAGTCTGAAGATCGCGGAGGCCACGCTACGGGTCCATTACGTCCGATCCACCTATTCGGAAATAATTCATTCAAAGACTCACGCACTTCGCGTCTAAAATGGGGCTGTGCACCATCGTGCAGAAACCACATTGATTGTCTTACACTTAATGGCACATCTTCTAACAAGGAAGGCAAAATGTTGCGTAAAAAATCTAGGTATTGCATCCCGTCCAATCGATTTGGGAGAATAAATGGTCCAATGAGCATACCGTTCACCATGCCAGCCCAAACATTCACCGAAAATGTTTGTTGAAAATGTGCTCGACGGACAGCGTGCGGATTTTCTACTGACCAAACATGAGTGTTGCGAAAGTTATTCACCCCATTACGCGTGAACGTAGATTCATCTGTCACCAATATGCACTTGAAAAAGTCCGGATTATTGTCATGTTGATGCAACAACCACTCACAAAACCGCACTCTTGCTGGAAAATCGTCAGGTTGAAGGGCTTGTACACGTTGGACGTGAAACGGATACAGCCCCTCTTCACGCAGCGTTTGCCACACTTTAGTTTTTGATACTTGCACTTCTCTAGCCACGTCTCTAGTGCTTGTTGTTTTTTGAAACGCAATCGATTATACGGGTTCGTTTACCTCTACACGCGTGACCGTAACCGTCAGTTGAAGGTTGCATACTGACCTGACACACTGACCCCGACCCAGTTCTGTCGTCGGGTTGAGCTAGTGTCCTAGTACCACTCGGAGATGTCGCGGGTCGCGGCTACAGGACGGTATTCAGATATTTTTGATATTGCAGAGCCCTTTATCTCGGTTCCCTAAGACATTGGTGTATATGGTACTAAGAAAAATTGCTTATGTTTTCAAGATCTACACGACGTGTAAAGGAAAACCCCAACTTTGCGGTATTTTACAATAGCATCTTGAGCAGATTTGCCTTCTTGAAAACCATGTTGCTGTTCCGCTATTAAGTTATATTTTTTTGCAAATTCGGTGAATCGTTTTTTAACACTTTTTCAAATATTTTAGAAGAATTGGTTAAGATGGAAACTGGTCGATAGTTGATGGGTTTTTCTCTTTCTCCAGATTTAAATAATGGTTTTACCATAGTGTGTTTTAAACATGTAGGGAATATTCCTTTATTCATACAAGAATTTATCAAATATGACAGTATGCCGCAGATGTTGGAATTTATTCTCTTGAGAGTATATGCTGTTATATTATCTAGACATTGGGATTTTCTTAATTTCAATTCATTGATTATTGTCTTTATTTCATGCGTTTCGGTCGGTTCCAGATATAGGGAGTTATATAATCTGGTCTTACTATAATTTAATTTCTCCGCGTTTTTTATGTTTTCTTTCAAGCTTTTCCAGATTTTTTAAAAATATTCACAAAATTCATTTGCGATGTCTACATCATTACTAGTTCACTATTTTTTTTTAATTGTACTAATTTTGTTGTTTTGTGTTTTGCCTTGTATTTTATTGATAAATTGCCACATTTTGGACGAACAATTTTGTAGATTATCAAACTCTTCTTGGAGATATTTAATTTTAGCCTCTTTAATTATTTTTGTCAATCTGTTTCGATATGGTTTAATCGCATATGGATCATTATGTGTATAAAATCAGTGAAATTTGCTGTGTGAGAAAGTTATTTCTAAATATGCTGCCAAGGAAGCATATCTATTAGCTGTGCCCGACGAATTATTTGTGTTGTGCTTTCTGAAGAGAGGTTATGTTCAAAGTTATAAATTACGAAAAACTTTGAGGAGAATTACGGGAAATCACCATCGCGTCCGCGTTATGTGTAATTACTGTTAGCATGTATATGACTTGTAATTTGACAGTGTACAATGAGTATAATTATTTCTCATCTCTCTCATTTTTTAGATTCAGCAAATTTGCAAATGTAATTTCCAGAATGGATAAGAACAAGTGAATACGCAACTAATTTCTAGCTTTGAATCTCGATTAAGTGTATTTGAGACAAGAATCCAATCGAATTATCATCGACACATATAACTTACAGCTTAGAGATCCAGTAATGCCATCCCTGAAGCAGATTTTACAACTAAGGCTCAGTTAAAAAAAAAACAGTAAATGTCAAAAAATAGTATAATGTAAAAAAATCGATATAACCTCACTTTTCAAGATAGGTAATACCCGTGCGGTTCAATATGCATTGCCATGCGTTAAAAGCAACAGACAGTTGCTAGCTGTAAACAACTCATGGAGTTTCTAACGCTGGAAGGTCCGCCGTTCATATTCTCAACTATATTATAGAGTTGTTAAATTTGTGGAGACTGAGACTTTATTGAAAAATTTTATATATTACCCCGCATCGTAAAATACAATTTATCACCTATTCAGACCATGGTTTTATGACGTCAGGCTGATTACAGTCCATATTATATGAAAGAAGGAATTTTAACGGTGATAAATTTACGTGACCTCTTTTAAGAGTTCTTTTAAAAACTAACAATAGGAAAATTTCATGAATACCGACGTTGTCTGTTGACATCGTTGACAGAATGCTAATGAAAAAACTCACATTTACTAAAAAATATAGCTGAGGCGAAACTTTCCTTGATATAAAAGCATAATTAACCTGTCTAAGAAGGAGAATGATTCATAGGTACGGCAGCACCTGTCTCCAAATGACTAGACCTATATCGTACTGATGGTTGCTAAAAAGCATGAAACAGCGTTGTGTACCATTGGTTACTGTCACCGGCAAAGATCAGACAGATCCTATTTACTCTGTATATTTGAGTTAATTTATAAGATGCAATAACGCTGACTACTAAAAGCCTTTTGATGCAAAATTTCAAAACAAGAAGCACTTCATCACAAGCCACTGTAGCCTTTATTGCATAAGAAAACTGAATTCCATTCACATCAAAGCGCTTTTTCACGCTCTAGACGGTGCTTATGCTCTTAATAGCTAACCAACGTTCATGAAAGGATCCTCAGTTTTCCTTTCGGTTTTGAGTGGAGAGTTCGCGTTTCTTTATGAACGAGTGGCGTAGAGGAACATTATCAGTTAGTGCCGTAAGTCTTGTTTTGTATCTTCCAATTCAAAGCTTTGGCAACGAGTTTTACGTTTTTTCGGAATTTCGATTCAAATGAATAATCCTTTAATTCATACAATTTCAGAAACTCTTGCATATGAAGATCGCTCGAACTTGGTTTGTTTTATTTAAACTTTGATTTCGTATGATTCGAAATTAAAAAAATTGTATGTGTTAAATCATTATAACACTTCAGTACGTCACACTGAGAATTTGCTTTCCATTTTACCCCTCCCAGACTGAAATCCTGGGAGCGCCACTGTCTGTGCTTTTGATGTTTAATCATTTTGTATTATTTTTTGTATGTGACAATTTCCTACACTGTTGTACAGTCAAATGAAAAACAAAGTTGAAACTGACGACGCCATTTTATACTAAGTGACATAAATCCGACCACCCAGTTTAAATGGTTTTATTTTAATAAAAGTTGGTGAATGTAAATGTATTTATCTTACTGTAAATAACAAGTGAAACAATTTTCAGCCTTATCAGTTGAACATTCCGGTTTTTATACTGCTTTTTTTTAATTCACTAACGCTCTAAAAATGAATATTTCAGCCGCAGTAAAGAATCATCGTTGGCGGATTTTGGTTCTTGACATCCTTTACGATCTGTTACGATGCCTAGAGTACGGAGACCTGTACGATTTCGTCAACTTAGTGAGTTTGATAGGGGCCGTATAGTGGGACTTCGGGAAGCTGGACTTTCTTTTCGGGCAATTGCAGTTAGAGTGCAAAGAAGTGTAGACACTGTGGTTAGGTGTTGTCAGGCATGGCTTCGAGAAGGCCGTACGCAAAGAGCAAGGGGCACTGGACGCCGCCGTAGAACAACAGACCGTGAAGATCGCTGCCAAAGATTATGGGCCTTAAGGGACCGTTTCTCCACTACCAGGTCGATTGCAAATGAATGGTTTGCAGAACATGGAAGACCTATTGGCATGCGAAGTGTTTACCGACGAATGAGAAGTTTTGGCTTGTTTTCATACCGGCCACACTGGGTCCTCCCTTTAACTCGAGAACACCGACGTAATCGCCTTGAGTGGTGCAGACAACGGCCACTCTGGGATCAGGAATGGAACAGTATTGTTTTTAGTGACGAGTCTCGATTTTGTATAGGCATGCACGATGGTCGTGCCAGGGTTAGATGGCGACGTGGTAAAAGGAGGAATCCACAGTTTTTTGTTGAAAGACATGTTCATCACACTGTTGGAGTTATGGTTTGGGGTGCTATAGCTTATGGTTCCAGGTCACCTTTAATCTTCATCAGAGGTAACATGAACGCGCAGCGTTATATCCACGAAGTTCTAGAACCCCATCTTTTACCCTATCTTGACACCCTGGCAGATCCAACTTTCCAACAATATAATGCCCGACCACATGTTGCAAGAGTCACAATAGACTTCTTTCAACATAATGATGTCACAATGTTACCATGGCCACCAAGATCTCCCGACTTATCCCCAATTGAGCACGTGTGGGATATGATGGGTAGGAGATTGCTCAATTTGCAACGTCCTCCTCTGACTCTAGAAGCACTTCGAGAGGAGTTGGTGGTTGCCTGGAATGAGATACCACAGGAGGACATTGACCACCTGATCAGAAGCATGCCTAGGCGCGTTGGAGAATGCGTAGCACATCAGGATGCATCCACACATTATTAAAGGTCAAAGGGCTTTAAAGCAGTGCAATCATATTGAAATTTTTATCATTTACTTATTATGCTTCATTAAGTACTTATACAAAATTTTATTAAAATAAAACCATTTAAACTGGGTGTTCGGATTTATATGTCACTTAGTATATATATCGCCTACCTTTCCTGTTCCCAGTCGGCGATATCCGATCTGACGCGACGAGCAGATGTTGTATATCAACGGCTGACTTGACCCTTCTGGGCGGCGGTGCGCCCATCGTGAGGGCAGCCAATGCACCGGGACTGCCCACAAACACGCTGTTCTGCCTGGGGCGGCGAATAATGGGCGAGGGCAGAACGGACAGAGGATCAGTCAGCGCGTTCACGTTGTATTTTGAGAAAGACATGCGCGCCTGGAAGAAAGAGAATAGGGTAACAACGTTGCCAAGTTTATTAGTATAGCAGTAGATCTGCTACAAAGTTCGACAAAATGGTACGGGGTAAGATTAATAAATGCAATTATTGGAGCAGATTCTAGTGTCCGTTGTATATTAAAAAGGCAATGCAAGCCTGAAAAAAAAAACAGAAATTGTATAACCAGTAGTTGTACAACATTGTACAGTAATTCTAACTATCAACCTGAGACAGGGCACTACATTTGTACAGGGTGTGATAAAGCCAACTGAGCAGCTTGGAAAGGCTATAAAAAAAGATAGAAAAAATGTTTCTAATTTCGGATTGAGCAGATTGAACCGTTTGAACTTTGTCGTTAACAGGATCATACAACTCTCAACATACACATATCGTGAGATATACAGGGTGATTCACAAGCCGTGGCCAAAAATTAAACATCATATACTGGACCGCATTTGCAGGCGGCTCCTGTATGTAACATTTTTTCCTCTGGGGCTTCATTAAAAAGATACGGGGTGTTGAACTTTGAAAATAAAAAACATTTTTATTTTTAAACTTATTATTTTTTTTGAATGTGGGCAATACTTAGATAAATTAATTACTTAATAAAAAATTGTTTTCTATTGTTAAACTTCAAAGCCCGTATCTTGTTAATGAAGCCCTCTAGGGCTCAAATGCGGTCCTGTATATGATATTTCATCTTTGGTCATGACTTGTGAATCACCCTGTATAGCTTTCACTTCTTCAATAATTTGTTCTCCAAGCTTCAATAAATTGTAACGGTGGATACCTGAGCGCCTGCTCCTTTAGATATCTTTAGGGACGATTTCACCAACATTAATATTATGAACCAGTGGTATCGAAATGCAATTTTACAGAAGCTGTCAAAGGTCTCTGAATATTAGTGATTTCTATTGAAATATTGAATAAAATCGTGAAAATTCGACTGTATTATAAACAAGACCACTTTTTGATTCCAACATGATGCTTTTGTACAGAAAAAACAGGACAACTTTCATGTATTTTGATATATGTTATAGGTTTACATTTTACAATCCGTTATCCTCTTCAGCGAATGGGAATGCAGCAAATAATAGGTCGATTTTCTAACTGTTAAATTTGGCAGCAGATTTGGACATTTGTTAATGCTTGGCACTCTCGAATTTACCAACTTCAATATACTGAAAGTTATCATTACATACCTGTTGAATAGTATGGATTTGTCTGTATTTTATAAGAAAATAGAATATAAAATACATTCCATCCAATTCCTCATCTTCCTTCACGTCATAATAGTAATCATTTATTAATTTGAGGGTTAATGAATTTATTCAAAGCAATAAAAACATTATGTCCTCTCCATCCTAAAACACAGATAATATGTGTAAGACGTGTCAATCCCTACATCTCCCTGATGCATAATGCAATTACTATGACATAGACAAGAAATTATGAAAAATGTTTTACAAATAATGTCTTTTAAGTCCAAAAAACCATAAAAACTAGTAATGTTTTTCTTTTTGACTGGCGGGGATATCTATCTGTCACTCGCAGGGTTGCCAAGTCTAACGGGTGCGAAATGAATCTTTTACATTTGCTGGTTTTGAATTTTTTTCATGAAAATTTACTAGGTATCATGATTATAAGCATCTTTGGTAGATTGTTCGATCCGGAATGGGACAGATCTCCTATTTATGAAAATATTTTTGGTATCATCTAGCCGTTGCAATCAGTACACAAACACTGTGACATATGATTTATAGCATAACCCGCTGCCCTATCAATACAAATTTAACATACAGGTCACCTAGCCGTGGGGATGCAGTGGTCGGATGAATATCACGGCAGCAGCTGATGATTTGGGTATGTCTGGTAACAACGTATGAAGTGAAACTCGCAACTTCACAAATTTGAAGATTTTGTACAATTTCTTTGAAAATGATGAAAGATATGTCTGATTTGGCAGAGTAATGTCGCAGCCAAATGGCAGTCACTCTTTCTGACACAGTCCGGATCGAAAGATGACGATACTCGTGAAATGTATTGATACTTCTTAATATAGCATCGTATCGAACACCCTACTGTCAAGATGTATAACTCAAGGTACCGACGGAGCTATTTTGCGGCGTCATGGAAATAATTTTAAATTTTCATTTGCATTTTTTCAAGTGTTGTGCAATGATTTTGGGAAAAATATCACGAATAGTCTTATAAAGCATAGTAGAGTATATTTCAACAGTTGGCGGAACTTACTCCACTGGGACCAGGAGGGTGAAACGGGATATTAATGAACAATCTGGCAACTCTGTCGCACCCTCACAAAATGGCCGCTGACAACGACACAAGTCACCGTGTTGTCATTGAATAGCATGGAATTAAACCTTCGGAGTATATGTTTTGTGACTGGTACCAAGAGGTCACACATCCCACACATGTGTCACTCCTTGAAATGCAATAATCAGCTGTATTTAAATAATGTCTAATATAAATATAACCTAGAATGTTTACTCGTGAAAAAAGATAAATATGGCAAATTTGTAGTTTTTTTGCAGGTTTTAGGTTTGCTGGTAGCTTTAAGGCATATATTTGGGAATTTCTTAATCGCTGTGAATATAGTGTGGATGTTTGTTCATTTCCTGAACAACGAAAAATAGTCAACTTTATGAATGTATGGATATCAAAAAACCTGAATGGTTTTGTGGGAATATCAATCTAAGGTGGCATAATGTTTCTGATGAACGGCAGGTAAATGAATGAATGTTTGGAAACGAGCAACATCTTTTGGTAGAGCCTGTCATCAAGTAGGTGCTTAATGGCTATCTGCAAGAGGTTTATGGGAAAAAACACCCAGTATCGCATATCAATTGAAGAATATAATATAAACATTAATAAAAAATCAACAATAGTAATTAAAACAAACAAAAGTCTAACATTTCTTTAAATTTTGACTGAATTATATGTAATTTCTTAATATTCAATAAGCTGGAGATGTTTCAATGACAAGTTGTCATCTCATACTTTGACAGTATTTTGTTTTCAACATTTCATAGCTATTGGTTGCTAAAATTTGTTGATTGGAACTTGAAGCTCATTCGTTGTATTTGACGATCTGTTACCCTATCGGTGGAGAATAAGGGACTGTTGTTGGTGGAATTGGCCCTTGGAGAAACAAATCACGCATGCTGGAAATATTTATTTCAAAACATTCACTGAATGTTTGGCGAGGGCTGTAGTTCCATACCTTAATGCTTCTTCTTCAACAAGCTCTTCCAATTTCGGTAGAAATTAGATAGGTCACCTCAAATCTGTGAAGCTACGGAACAACTTTATAAGTTTAGGAGGGTTATTGATCAAAATAATTGTAGTCAGACCTTTCGTATATTTAAACAAGGATTTTGATATCGACGTTGCACTTGACCTTGAGCCTGACCTTCAAGACCGCGATTCTCAGTTAAAAAAATGGCGCCAAGTAGATTGACTCTATAATTCCTACGTCTCCGTTGAAGGTTTCCTTGAAAGGGGACGATTCAAATCGTTTTAAAGAGAAATATAATCGTTTTTAGGTAAATTCATTTAGATACGATGAAGCTTTAACCTCTGCATATCAAAATATATGAAACAAATCTATCATATTTCTGTTTTCAGTGCAGATGTACGAGAAACACTGACTTATTATGTCTAGCAGGTGCATATTATCATTGAAATCAGCAGATTCTGAAAAATAGAGGGTATTTCTCTGAGACCAAGTATGCGACAACAGCAATTTTATTTCCAAAATCTACGACAACCTAAACGATGGGAGTAGTGAGCTCGCGACAATATTCAAACTTCGCTTTACAAGTTTTTTGTTGCTTATAGATATCTACATCACACTAGTCCGTGCTTCTCATCTATGTCGGTTTGTCAATCCGCATGTGTTGCATATCGATGCACCATAAATACTGAGTCACTTTTCTTGACGAAAAATTAGAGGTTAGACGAAATGTGTGGTGCATTTAAGGATCATAAAATTCAGAAAAATGTATGTGTACATATAAAAACAGTTATCATTTACAAAAGCATCGTAGAATGCTAAAATGGTATGTACTCCTGATATTCGAATATTTCCGAAATATACAAATGTCTCTCCTATAGTAGTGTGTCAGTGACGACACCACCGCAGACGAGTTGGTAGTAGTGACTGCCACGTAATTTCATGAGCACAGGTAGTTTAAGTCCTCAAGACTTCTTATAACTCCCTAATCAAGATCACCTACACTTTCAAGGTCATACGGCCAAATCACTCAACGTTTAAAAGTCTCGCGATTTCAAGCACACACCGCTTCAAGCTCATTTGAAAATTCAAGATTGCACAACTTCAAGGTCGTTGGCATTTTGCAGTCAAGTTCAGCTTCCAATGCCGTCCCAAAACCCCATCTACTAGTACCAATATCTTTACACTTAAGAAGCTCATTATTAAATGTCTTTTGAGCAAGGCTTTACCGTGAGTGTGTTATGCATTATTTTCTGTGTAGCAAATTAATTGCCTGCAATATTTCCAGGGAGCTGAAGTGAATATAATCAGATAAAAATGGCCTCGCCCTCACCCCGGAAGCCTCATTAGTGCGCTCTATAAATTGCAGCGGAAGCACATGAAAAATTATTCCAGCATCCATCGCGATAAGGACAAAATATCAGCAGCATCTTCGCTATTCGTTTCGCTCTATCGCGAACCAATTACAGGATAAGTTCGTCTTTTTGCTATGTCAGTATATTAATGGACTCGTCGCTTACAGTTTTTGCTTTTGTTAGAAAATAATGAAAGACTCCAACTTGGAGGCAGGCTTCGTTAGCAGGTTGGTATCGTTTTCTAAGGTCGCTCAAATTAATGTCAAGTAAAGATACTGACATAGAAAAAAAAACACCCAGTTATACTTTATCTGAAGTCACTTGAAACACTGTGAAATACCGGGTGCGTTTTATATATCTATATTTAACACGCTCTGTTGCTGCAAAAATC